TCGGTTGGTTTGGTCGGTCACGTCTCATATAGTCGATTTTCATATATAACTCGTCTAATTCCAACTTACGGTTTGAAAGTTATGACCTGTTCTTTGTAGGATGTTCTGGAGCTCGCCTGAAGAGCAAGCTTGCCTGCAAAGGAGTTTAGCTCGCCTGCAAAGGAGTTTAGCTTGCCTGAAGAGCAAGCTCACCTGAAGGCTTGAAGCTTTAAGCTCGCCTAAATGAGGCTAGCTCGCCTGCACAGCCTCGCCTACAAAGTTTGCCTAAAGAACAAGCTCGCCTGACAGCTAAAGCTCACCTGCATAAGCCAAGCTTGGATGACAGCTTGAAGCTCACCTACATGAGCCAAGCCGCCTGAAGGCTAAGCTCGCATGACAGCTTGAAGCTCGCCTGCATGATCCGCGCTCGCCTAAAGGCTAAGCTTGCCTGATAACTTGAAGCTCACATGCATGAGCCAAGCTCTCCTGAAGGCCAAGCTCGCCTGACAGCTTGAAGCTCGCCTGCATGATCTAGGCTCGCTTGAAGGCCAAGCTCGCCTGCATGACCCAAGGTCGCATGCATGCTTGAAGCTCACCTGCATGCTTGAAGCTCGCCTACACAAGGCAAGCTCGCCTGCAAACTTGCCAAACCCACCCACTTGAGGCATGGAAGATGTCACTTCCCACGATTTAAGGGAATGGATATGATTCTCCTTATGGCCATACCCATTATGGGAATGGTCACTTCCCATGCTTTAAGGGATTGGTCATGATTCTTCTCATGGCCATACCCAGTATGGGAATGGTCACTTCCCATGATTTAAGGGAGTGGTTACACCCTCCTTCCTCTCTATAAAAGGCCATGAGCAGCCATAGAGAAAGGGTCTTAAGACATGACCTCTTTGAGGGCGAATTTGAGAGATCTCAAGACCATCTTGGACTTGAGATCCATTTTGTTCCTAGCACGTCGTTGGCTAAGTCTTGTTCTTTGGAGATCGGACTTCTTGTCATTCAAGAAGATCGAATTCGTAGCATCGTCAGCCCATAAGCACAAGCACTTGTTTGGCCTCAGTTGATCGAACTCATCGAATCTAACTTCTACTGCATATTGAAGCTTGCCTACAACCTCGTTCGGATGTCCAAGGGAAGCAAACTCGACGCAAGCATTCGATGGAGGCGTCCTACGAGAGTATATCACGTGATGTGTTTCTAATTAAACCATTGCAAGTGCACACTAATGTCTGTAGCATGCAAGTGTCGATCCCATGAGTAAGGAGTATTAAAGAAAATCCTAAAGAAATTCTTGAAATGTGTATGGAAAAAAAAGAGTGTAGAGTATGACTGGGTGAGATTTGTTGCAAAACAAAAAAGCCCAAAACAAGAAGAAAGAATGAGAAAATTAGAAGATGCAAATAAGAAAATAAAAAAAGGGTAAAAAACAAAAAGAAGATGCTTAAAGAGACGAAGGAAATCAAGAGAATAAACTACGAATCCAAGATTAATGCCACTAGGTAACTCCTATTTGGATTTAAGAACTATTCTCTTTTAGTTCTCATATTACCTAAATTGCTTAAGAATAGATTATCAAGTATTCAAACAAGCATAACCAATTAGAATCATATCAAGAAATATTACCACTCATGAATAGAAATAAACAAAATAGTAATTCTAGAATTGAAAAGGCAAAAACTATCAAACCATTTAAGATAAGTATAGCCTAAACTATCAAACCATTTAAGATAAGTATAGCCTATCAAATTCTTTTCTACTAATTAGTTTCCTACTTGATTATCCTAAGCATGATCATTTAAAGATAAAAAGAGAGCAATTTAAAAATAAAAAATTAAACTAGTTTCATTTAATCCTAGAAATCCTAAAGAAATTAGTTATTCATACTACAAAAGCAAATAAATCCTAAACTATAAAGCATGAATAAAAGAAAAGAAAATAAAATCTAAACTGAAAAATAAATAAAAGGCAAGAAATTAAAATCTAAACTACAAAGCATGAAATAAAAACAAGAGACAAAAATCTAAACTACAAAGCATGAAATAAAAACAAGAAATAAAAAATCCTAAACATGCAATTCTAAACAATAAAATAAAAGAGGGAAAATAAAAATTTACATTGCGAGGGCTTGGCCCCTTGTGAAGCAAACCTTCATCAGCCGAAGAAAAAAAGAAGAAAATTAAAAAGAGAAAAAAATTTATTTATTCCCAACTAAAGTTTATAATTATCAAAGGCCTTCTCAAATTAGAGTGACTCTCCTCTCCAAAGAGACTTTTTTTATAAAATTTCCTATATTTGTCACCCTTACTCTCTACTCCTATTTATAGCTTACCATATAACATTAGTCATTAATTGGATTAGTCTTGAGCTCCTAGAAATTAAAATTAGCCATTGATGAGTTTCTATTACAACATAGTCGATTAGCCCATCGATTAGTTTTTAACAGAAATTGTTTTCTTGTGTTGACTTATTGACTCAACTTCTTCTTGGACTTTTGGCTTTGTAGGCTTCCTCCAGGCTTCTAGTAGGTTTCAAGTGGAGGTATATAAGGCTTCTTTGAACTCTTATTTGATAAATCCTTTATTTCCTGCAAATTTATAAAACAACCAATATTAAGAAGTATATTTATTCAATAAAATAGGTAATAATAGTAAAAAAATGTAATGAAATATGGTAATCATCACGTAAAGTTAATGACGTGTAAACTACCTACCCACATAAAGTTAGCAATGCGTTAACCATAACACAATGTAAACAAGAGTTCCTCTATAAATAAAGACTCCTAGCCCACAACCAAAGGGCTTCAAATTTTCATCTGATTTGTGCTAACCTTAGCTTGAGTTCTCTTCTTCTATCAGAGTTCATCTTGCTCCAGAGAGCTCCTAGGGCTACATCGGGCTTTCTAATTCAGTGCATATTGATCAATATGTGAGAGTAGTGCCTACATTATATTGTCTATATTTGATAGATTTTCTATGATGACAATAAACCATATTTATAAGCGATGATGATTGGTCACAATTTTAAAGAGTTAGCAAGCTACACTATCAGCGGATAGTCGAGGCTAACTATGTTGCTCATGACCCACGTCTGAGCTTTTGATAATCATATTTTTTGAAGTTTGTGAGTTATTACAATTATTTCCCCATATTTGTTACTCATATACATCTTATTTGACGAAACTGCAAAGGCACAAGGCTTTTTTAAAAGTTTTTTCCATTCAGCAACATTATTTCAAATTACATTTTATATTGTTTGCTAAAATGGGCAACATACATAATAAAAAAAAATATTATACATATTTTGCAGAATACAAGTTCATTCTCCAGGCTTTTTTATTTTTTATTTTTTTATTTTTTTCAATTTGTCACTTTGCTGCTTTTCTTGTCCCTCTTTATTCGCATTTTTATTGCTAACTTCACTGCAAGCCCCCTCTTCCATTGCCCAACAAAAAGTATTGCACTCTCTCTGTGCGTATTTGGCACAGCCCAAAAATGATCCCTACTTGTTTTATTCATTTTGACATATTTTGAGAGGAGTGGGAATTAAATTATCAAATTATCAAGCTTCGATGGTAAAATACAAAAGGGAAGAAGGAAAGTTATAAGAAAAGGAAAGTTATAAGCAAAAGGGATGAATATATTGCTTCAAATGTGTGGTATGCTCATCTCTACAGTGTACATCTCTGAAATTTCTCTTTTACGCGCGATGACTTTATTTATGTTCGTTCACGTGCTGCATTTCCTATGATGTTTTCCACAATAAACAAACTGAGGAAAAGGAATTCTAACTAATTCTTAAAGCTTTGATTTACAGGTTTCCTTGTTAGCTCGAAACAGTGGGATGAGAAACAGGTGATTTTTAATTTACTATTCTAGCTTATTTTGGGCGAACCAAACAAAGAACAAAAAAAAAAAATCTATAGGAAACCCCATAAAACGCCTATTCCACATCGAATTGTTGTTCCCTATTATTTTAGGAATCGGACCAAACCAGGGCCCTGAGTAAGAAGACGATGGTACTTTCGAAATGAAGATAGGCTTTCATAGTTTTTTTTTTTTTTAATTATTTACTAGATTTCCTAATAAATCCATAGTAAAACAATATTTACGAGATTTCATATAGTAAGTGAATGAAACTTTTCGTAATAAATTTAAAAATCGACGGGTGGGATAAGCCAAGGGGTCCCGGAGACAAACGAGTGGCCAGCAGAAGAAGCCCCCTCCCTTATCTATATGGCCTCCTCGGATAAAAAGAATCAGGAGCGGGGCTTCATTCGAGGGAATCCAAATGATGGCGGCTTTCAACATCAACCCGTAGGATCTGAGGCGCAACCGTGATCGCGCTGGGTCGTGCGCCGCTGAAGCCCGCGGCAGGGCTGCCCGCGCCGGCACGATGGTGGTGGAGCTGCTCGTCGAGCCCAGAAGAAGGCGACCGGCGCATCACATGAAGACGAGCCCAAGAACGACTCAGCTTGCGACGTCAAGACGAAAGCCCACTCGTACCTCGCCTCTCCCCACTCTCGCCGCCCACTGGACCCGCTCCGTCTTCCTCCTCTGCGGTAAGAAAAGAAGAGAAGGAGAAGGAAAGGTCCGCGGTGGTTGCGACTTCCGCCGAAGCGGCCCATAGTAGCGATTACAAACTGAGGATTATGAAAAAGGCGGCTTGGGTTTTGTTTTAGGGATTGGATTTCTTTTCCTGTAGCGTTTCCTTGAATTTCGAGTATCAAATCTTTTCCTTCCTCGCAGCTGTTTGACTGAACGTATCTGTGTGTTTGCATCTTAATCCCAAACCCCCGTTGTTATCGTGTGTCCCTCTGGCTGTTGTTGAGTGCTTCTTTTAATTGGTAATTCAGCTATCCGCATCTTATTGCCTGCTCTAATGCTAAATTGATGAGCTGGTGACAAGACCAAATCACGGGGAAGAGATGCTGCTACCTGGAAGAGGCTTTACAAGAACTGAAACTGCGTGCTCAGCGTGTAGACGTTGGGTATTGCTTCTGTGAATACGCGTGGCGACAAAAAGTTTGCTAATTTTATGATGAATGCAACCAATTTCGACATTACGCATGTAGAGTTTATATACGTTATCAACCAAGGCCCCCTTTTTTTTTTGGGGGCGCGGATTTGCATCTAAAAGCCTTACCTTACGTCCTTACATTATGTATACATCATGGAAGCACAACATATCACAGAGGACCTTCAATTTGTCTACACAGCCAAAGATCGTAATGGCAGCTTGACATCATCGGTCAGTCACTTTTGACAGTCAGTTAGTTTTCCCGGATTTTGCTACTTTTCCTTCTTCCTTTTAGAGTCGGTCAGCGTTTTCTGATTGTTGCTCGGTCACCTTTTATACTTGCTTTGCGCCAAGCTTAGAAGAAAGTCTGTAAATACTTGTTCATAGCCTGGTACTTTTCCATAACCTGCGTGTGAATTTAAAAAAAAAAAAACCGCATTTCAGAACAATTTTAGATCACATGTTTCACTCAAAAAGTTAAAAAAAAAAAGGAGAGGGTGGGGGGGTGGTGAAGGAAAAAAAGTTAAGGTCATAATCTATATTTTAACTTCGGCGCCAAAAAAACAACCTAATACATGTATTCACCAATTCGATTAAGCATTACTAAATTGCATCACTATTACGTAGAAGAGCATATAGCATAGTCCCGATAAAGTAAAGACACCCAACTTTCACAATAAAGGAACTTATGCAGGCTGCAATAATCCTATAGACAAAAAAAAAAAACAGAGGATCCTGGCTCGTATCTTCTTCCATAGAATATCTTTTCTTTAAGCTATGATATTCTACTACCATTTTTCAAAAACATCTCCATTCATTTTAAAAACATTACCCGAATCTAAACATAAGAAATTTGATCAGTGGATCGGAAACGATTTTAAAAAAATGGAATGAGCGGGTAAGATCAGATGAAAATGTGGATCCAAAAGGAGAGATGAGCAGGTTAATTACGTAAACTACACTGCACAATTACCAGCTACAAAGTTGTTTGACTAATCTCACTGTGAACCCAATATAGCGTCAAATATATAATCACAAAAAGGATTAACAAGAAATACTAATTTACAATAAATAAATGGTGACCGGCTACTTATTGTTAGGAGCCAACGATCCTAATTCAAATCACCCCTACAAAAAATGCAGTAGAAATTCTCTAATACATTCAAGGAGCACGTTTTATAATTTAAAGTTTTACTTACCAGGAAAATAGTTGATATCAATGACATAGAATCTATTCCTTGTTCCATGCTCTCTGATTATATCAATGTTGAAAAGACGAAGACCCTGCATACATCAAATGAACAGACAACAAAAGGAGTAATAAGTCTAAATCTAAGCTATACTGAAATTTCAGACTAACCAACTGACGAAATTTCAGACTTACCAATCGACGACGAAGCTCTCTAGCAAGCCTCTCAAGCAAAGGTTCAGGAGGAAGCTCTGTAATGGAACATAAAAAAGCATGAAGACACATATTTTCATTGCAAATAACCATTTGCTTAGGTTGGTCGCTGCAAGTGGACCTTTAAGTTGTAATTGATGGAAAGGTCTCTCTACAGGAAGTTTTTTATTATGATCGATAGAATGGACTGGACTCCATAATCAAATTTTTGGGTCTGAGCATATTCCCCAGTACTATAGATGCTACAGTGGGCCTATATGTGATCCTAATAAAAAGGGAGTGCCTGCAAACTGAATGAAAGGACTTCCAAGGAGTTCTTATGGAACTTACCAGCAACGGCAGGGTCCAAGTCGGCTTCATCTGCTGAGGCTGCAGCACAGGAAACCCTTGGAAACTTAAAGACACCAGCATTGCTTAATAGTTCATGCTTGCTGACATCAGGAAGAGAAAAACGACGTACAACCCTTATTGCTTCACCAATGATGTAAACCTTAAAAAGAACACCACCTGATAGAAAGAGACCAATAATCACAAAAGGCCGGCTTTAAAATCTGACAGAATAAGATCAAAAATCACAAACCATGATTGACAAACTCCTGGAGAACAAGAGGAGGCTCAAGCTTCGACAAAGAGAATGGATCATAGGCTAAGGATAATTCATGTGATCTTGCACTCCCATCTACCACCAGTGGCTTGACAACTGCAAGGTAACAGCAAATAAAAGCCTGAATGCTCCTGTGCATGAACTATTGACTGAAGTGAAAATTGTAGGATTGCCTTACAGTTACTAAGCTGCATATATATTTGATATTTTAGAAGAACCAGATATAATTTGAAATTCGACAGCCATAGCATAGGCCTTTCTTTGGCACCATCATTAGACATTGTATTTAAAAAATTTCACTACAATTCAGCATATATATGTCGAAATGATTCTACGGTGTCCAAATAATTTTCAAAAAAAAAAAAGAAAAAAAGGAAAAGAAAACTGCTGCTAATTTTTATCCCTTGCACGTCTAATGTCAAGTGAATTAACCATGAAATGTTGCTTTGCTTCTCATAATAAATTACAAGTCATGAGGATCCAATGCAAAAAAAAACTGCTAGCTGAAACACATGAATTTAGCTACACACAAAAAGAACTAGAAAATGAATGAAAAACAAAGGAAAAAAAATACACAAACAGGTTTACACTTCACACTATTCCAAAGTTATTTTTCATATTTTCTTGCAAATAAATATCAACCTTTTTTCCTACCACAACGAAAAAAGAATAATAATTTAAAAGCTTAACTAGTTGCCAAGACATAAATGTCTGATAATTAGGATTTTACTTCATCAGCACTCATTTTCCAGCTCTTTAACATTAGGTAGACCTCAGTGGTTTTACTGACAATTGACTGATTCCTTACAAATGCTTATGAATAGCTCCAATCAAAAAGCAACATTTTAGTACATTTACGGACAGAAGTCAGACAATAAGCAAGTAACTAGATAAAGCTAAAATCGTAGACAGTGCATTTACCTAAAGGTAATGCTAATCCAGCGTCAGTCACTGCATCTGGGATTGATAATGGATCTTTGGTGATGACCAGCTGTTTAGGGACACAAACTTCTCCTGCAGTAGTACGATATGATTCAGAAGCATGAGTCATCATTACAGATATCTCGATCTTTAATACAATTTTAGTTGATATTCTCCATCTTCCAGTTAAAATTATTTCAAGAAGCTCAAGTTCATGTCACTAAAATTTATTTTGCTGAATCACAATTAGCACCATAACTACCTATCAATAACCATCTAGCTTCAAAGGTCAGTAGAGGTCTAGTTAACAAGAAATGATGAGAAGGGAAGAATTGAAACAAATTAAACTACTTCCATACTACATGTTCTCCCAGCTTGATGGTCCCAGTGATAAGATTCTCAAAGGCAGAAAGCATCTATACTACATCCAAGGAACCAAGTAGGTGCTATAGTATAGTATCTTGCTAAGTCATTTAGTCGTCATTAATGACAGACTTCCACAGAATTTAAACATCAGGCAAGTGCCAGTCGAAGTGGCGCATTTTTTTACAGCCTCTTGCCTAAAAAGTAATATCAATATGAATGAATATTCCCAAAGAACTTTTCTGAATATTACCATGATTAGTGGACAAATTCAGATCAGCTACATCCTGAAGCATTGATTGGCGATTAAGTAGATGTTGTATGGCATCAGGAGGATCAAGGACAGTCACTTCAGGATGTTTTTCCCAGTAATCCTTCAATAATTGAAACAAAATAAAAGAAACATTAGCATTATGAGATAAAAAACTTATTATAGAGAGAATAATTTGAAGTAGAAACTTTTTTGCGATCTACAAGCAAGTTTCCTCATCATTAACAAGCGACTTAAATCCTCAAAAAGCAAGATCTGTCTTTCATAGGGAACAATATGCACAAATTTTCATTAAAATAATAATAAAGAACTTTTCCCAAACTCAGTGTACCCACTGCTTTATGGTTGGAGCAAATCCAGTTCATAATGATCAATGCAAAGTTTAGTGCAGAAAGTCAGAGCCAGAACTCATGTATGAGATAATTATCTATTTTTCTCATTTGGAGAACTTTGATCAAAACAAGTTAATTTGATACATGAATACAATGCTCGGAATATTTACGCATATTTTGTGCATTGTAACTTAGCAAATCAAACTAAAAAGTCTAGCACCTGTGAGGATTAAGAAAAAATCATGACATTAATGGTGCAACTTTTACAGCGAAATTTGAAGGGAAAAAATTAAAGTGGGAAATGCACAGTAAACTTGGATTAAGATACAAGGGAACATCTGAAGACACTAAATTGGCACCTCATGTGCAGAGTCAAATTTATCGCAAGTAAGCAACTACTTCAGCTGACATACAACATAAGACCATGTCACATGAAATATTAGCTAGTCATTAAAGAAAAAATGACTCACTTATGCAAATTCTGCAGGCATCGACTTTAAGCTATGAGGATATGATCCATAATGCAAGAAAAAAAAAATCAAACATTCTACAAACTATGTCAGTGAAACATAGTTCTCAACTCCTAAAGAATGTCTCAATTCTACTTTTATTTGTTAGCTATCAGAATCTTGTTGAACTGAAAAACAATTGTGATTTAACTGCAAATCATGCATCAACCGTCAGATGTGATTCATGAGATAAAGGTACATACATAGTGTGTCTGGACTTACTAACCTCCAGAATTTGACGCCACTCTTTTCCTGTCAGCTGGATAACACAAAAGAAAAACCTAAATCAGGGTGCAAATACCTAGAAATTCTCCAAAAAAAGCTCCAGCTAGTTTTAACAGTGAAAAGCAGGCATCCATGTACTGACCTTGTGTAGAACAATATCAAAAGGACCTTGGTCTGAAAGAGGACGATGTGGGTCAATTTCAACAAATAGAATCCCCTTTTTTCTGCACCACACATACAGAAGGTATGGACCAATTATTTTAACAATCAGTCAAACGTGTATATATTACAGCATACATTCTGTTACACCTTCAAACAAAAACAAAATTAAAAAAAAAGGCTATCTTATCTAGAGTGTATGAATAATTTGACAATAAATGCAACATCCTAGAAAGAAAAAACTACTTCCTACGAAGCGGGAAAAGACAACATACCAGAAGATTATGTCAATAAAACCAAACTGATATGATACATAGATAAATATCACAGAAGGGAAAAAAAACAAAAGCTAGCATGAAAACAAAGAAAGCATATGGCATGAAAGCTTTAGCCCACACAAACCATGGCAACATTCTCCAACATCAGATTTGTCAAATTTGCCCACATAGGAAAGGTACAAGGAGGACGTGAAAATTGAAACGTGGCAAAAATATACTTCCACAGCCTTGTCAAAATCATATTGCCAGTTAACATTTCTAGTTCAAGAGTCCTTCTTACACACACACACACACACACACACACACACACACACATGTATATAAAGGTACATTTCTATGGACGAACAGGGAAAAGGAGAAAAAAACACTTTAACTCATTCCCAACTATATTAGGTAGCCTATCTTTCCTGCAGTAAGCACCTCTTCAATAAGCCTAGAGTGAAATTTTATGTTGAGCCACCATTACTTGGCTCTAGATGCCATATCCATAATTGGTAATGAGATCACTGAGATGAACCCATATTTCAAAAGCAATCATCATATGAACTAATTTTAGAAAATGGAAGGATATAGTGTGAACAAAAAATCCATACAATCCATTTTTTGCCCTCTTATGAACATTATATGCAGATGTAATAGTTCTGCTGATGATTCATCCACTTTATGTCTACAGAGTTGTTAAAAGGGATGTTAACTTTGTTCCTAATGAGCTTAACATGACTAGCTTAGTTACAAGCTGAGTATGAAAATATGATTTACACGAGCAGGGAGAAAGGTCGCAAGGTGCCACAGCTCAATGTAACCTTATTTAATGCAGTAAAGCATTGAAATAAATGGTTTTCATGAATACAAGGTTTGATGTGCTGTCGTAGTTCCATGATGCATTCTTCAGCACCAAGATTTCTAAAAGATATTTAGAACATCATTTACAGACCTCCACTTCTGAACCCTAAAAAGTAGAGGGAAAAAGCAAAAAAGAAAAACCAAATAGACAGCATCATTAAGCAAGTGGTTCAGTTTCTGTTCGCTTCCAGATCCAGATTAATCACAAAAACCAGTGAAATTGTTACACAATTTTGATAAGTTTCTGATTAAAATAAGTGACATGGCACTGAATTTAGTAATTTATCATGTTTTTATAATATATTCACTTAAGTGTTACAATTTTATTTTTATTATTTTCAAGTTTTTGTTAGATGCTGTCAGCCTGTGATACTCAATAATTAGCCGTTAAACTTAATGAATCTATGATATCGTATGTCACGGTGGAAAAAGAACAAAAATTCAACTTCAAATGAAAGTATCCTTTTGTGATCTCAACTTTAGAACCCTAGAAGTAGGAAAACAATATTACCAAAAAGACTGCAACCCTTTAGCATATGCTTCAGTTTCTATATCTGTTTCCAGGTCCATGTAAATCAAAAAAGCACTTAGTGGGTTATAACCACCAATATCATTTTAAAGCTATAACTGTACATTATGAAATAGAAATGAACTCCCAAGCAAACAACAAACTTGATAATTAGTAGGTTAAACGAAGATATCAGGATGAGGGGATTTATACACCTATCAGTCTGCATAATTTATCTCTTTATGATATGGGCTGAAATTCGAATTGAGCCTATAAAGTGACATTACCAAAAAGACTGCAACCCTTAAGCATATGTTTCAGTTTCTATATCTGTTTCCAGGTCCATGTAAATCATAAAAGCACTTAGTGGGTTATAACCACCAATATCATTTTAAATCTATAACTGTACATTATGAAATAGAAATGAACTCCCAAGCAAACAACAAGCTTGATAATTAGTAGGTTATACACCTATCATTTCATTCTAGTGACAACAAACACTTCTTTCATTTTGCGTGTTGTTGTAATTTTGTGATTTTCCTTTTGATGAATGAAATGAAATATTTTGTTTTATCAATTGTGTAATGAATGCATGTAACCATTTCAAAATGGGGTAACAGGTGTACTCCTCTTTGTGATTCTCTAAGGAGTCTTACAAAGGGAATAACACCCCTTACTAAAAAAAGTAGTTTGGGAAGGAGGAAAGTGGAGAGGATGTGAGGATGTGATAGAGAAAAGAAGAAAAGGATGAAGGAGATGATGGTGGAAGGGGGGTGGAGGGAGAGGGGGGAGAGATGGAGGAGGGAGGGAGGGGGAGACAGAAAGAGGATTTTTTATAAATATTTTAAATTTTGGAGGGTAAATATGTAAGTGTGGGAGATATGAGGGTATATATGCAAAAATTTTGTACTTTTCATGGTCAAACCAAAATTCTGGTGACCGGAGTAGATTTATGTGGTTAACTGTGTCAATTTATAGGTATATAAGTGTGAGAGATATTATGGGTATATATGCAAAGTTTTATAATATTCTCGCACAAATCAAAATTTCGGCAATCGGAGTAGGTTTAAGTAGTTAATGATGTCAATTTATAGGTGTTATTGTCGCCGAAGTCACTTTTTAGGTCTTATTGGTCAGAGTGTGTCACTTTATATGCTAAATTGGTATTTTGGCTTTATGATATGTGAAGCAGAAGCTAGTTGATAAAAACTATTAACTATGCACATCAGGACAAGAAAATATCCAAACCTGCAAGTTCAATCAAATATATAAGCTGCATAACACAATCAATATATAATTTAACAATGGTGACCACATAAATTATTAAATTCATAATTTGTCCTGATATAAAAGGATAGGTATACGAGACTATTCTAATCCAGAACCTAAGATTCCACGTGTCCAGTCAACTTAAATTAAGGTAGGATGTACGCTTAAGTAACTGCAACATAAGTGGTAGAGAAAGGATCAAGTATAGCCACATCTAACATGTGGCACTCTTGCACCACATAAATACTTTTGCATCACAAAACCAACTGGACGCTAATTAAACACTTGTATTCCTTTCATATACAGTGACGAATGCTTCCAAAGGAGATTTGTCCATTCTCAGACTATGAGAAACGCCACAAGTTTCCGATAGCGACAATAACAGAAGCTCTACCTCAAAGAGACCACATGTCAAATGAACTCAAAGAAAAAGAAAGTGCAAATGTCTGCACCCAGGTAAGTGTTATAACCTTAAGTAAGCTGTGAAAATAGGAGCAAAGATTTAGTGGCCTCAAAGAAGTAATCTTTTGTCCAGAAATACCCCTGTTTTGAATGAGAGGAGAGGGAAACTATCATCCGCTCGTTTCAGACAAAAGAAGGTTATGAAAAGAAAACAAGGAAAATAAAAGAATTTGAACAGAAGAGGCAAGTAACATTTGTTCGAATTTAAGGTCGAAAAAAAGAGATCCAGAGAACAAAAAAAAGGGCCGATTATAATCAGCCAAAGAAGTGAAACTTTTCCTCTTTATAATCATTTTCTGAAATTAAATTTCTATGGATAAGGAATCCCATTACACAATGCAAAATCGAAAGCAAACACAACCCAGTGATCAAAAACTCAATCACTATCCGGGGGAGGGGGGAGGGGGGTTCAAAATTACTGTCGTTTTCAGTTTCTTTTTCGAAAAATTACCTAGCGAATCCTTCAAGCTTCGGTTGCAAGAAGCTCTTGATCTTCTTCGAGGTCAAAGCGTAGCCAACCACAATCTTCTGCTGAGAAAATCTCTCATTATCATCATCATCGTCACTCCAATAATCTTCGTCCAACCTCATAACCCCCAAATCCTCTCACCAAAAACAAATCCCTAGAAATTGAAAATCTCCAATCGATCCCTTTATATATATATATATATATATCAATGAATAAAATGCGAATCTAATCCACACGTTTCCTCTTATTATTCGAAGATATCGAGAATATAAGAATCTGAGATCCGAAACCCTAGATATTCTTCGAGATGAGAGAGAGAGAGAGGGAAGGGAGAGAGAAGATGACGGAGAAGCTCGAGTTATTTGTAGCCGCGTCCGGTGAAAGTTACGAAAACGCCCTCGGACGCCGGATGGCAACGGGAGGCGGACAGCGGGAAGCGGACGAAATGACGATTTTGACCCTGACGCTGGGCGAGGACAACGAGGAGCACGAGGGTCACGCGTTCTGCGATGGGACGCGTGGCGCGTCATTATGCGACGGTTAGGGCTAGCACAGGCAGCGCGGGTGTGGTGTCGGGGACAAAGATGCGGGAGAATATTCTGAGATATTATTAGGGGTGTGTAACGGTCGGTTTGGTTCGGTTTTTATCAAAATTTGAACAACCGAACCGAACCGTCTATAATTCAAAATCGAACCGAACTGTTGATAGTCGGTTCGGTGCGGTTCGGTCCGGTTTGTTCATTTCTAACTTCATCAAACTTTTTATCAAATAACAAACTGTGTTAAAAAAAAGATATCAACAAAGTAGGAGATTATGAAGCATTAAACATTAATATAATGATATTGTTTTTAACTCATAATGATTCAGAAAATGAGTTTAGGGTTTGAGTCTTTGACTTTTTGGAGACGGGTCGGGTAGGGTTTGAGATCAGAATGAGTAGTATTACACTATATTCGGTCGGTTCGGGTCGGGTCGGGTTGAAAAATTTTCAAACCGACCCGAACCGTCCTACTCATAAAACCGATTTTTTCGGGTCGGTTCGGTCGGTTTTTTCGGTTTGGACCGAACCATGCTCAGTCCTAGATATTATTCAGTGTTTAGGTATGACGCGATGTGTTTCCGTGTGAGTCTCCCCTTCCTACCTCATTTAATCTGGCGAAACAGAAAGAACTTTTCACACAATTCTCCGCGCCTATTTAGTGTCATTTGTGTCAAATATAGAATATTCTGATTTGAAATTATAGTGAATTGTTCATGGTAATCTCTTTAATTTTAGACTATGTTAAGAAGCAAAATAAGATATCCTAGGGCTACATCACACTTAAATATCTTTTCAAGATAAATATATATCATAAGTTTGTTTAAAATTATTTTTTTAGTACCCTCGGTCATTCAAATGTGAAAATTTTCATATGGATTTTTCTACTCATGCAAGTTTTAGAGCTTTACAACTATTAATATTTGTTAATTTGCTATGAAATCTTCCTAAATCCTTTTTAAACTTATCTCAATTCTACTTTAAAATAGAGTTGGAATATGCTTAATGATAAATTTAACAAATATTAATGGTAACAAATTATAAAATTAACATGTTAGTATTATACGAGAGCATTCATTGAAAATTTTCACATTTGCATGATGGATGATATTGTTGTGCCAAATTTAAACTACTTATGATAATTATTTGTAAATAAACAACTCATAGTATATTAGTGCCAAGACAGAGAAACTTTATGGTATTTAAGTGTCATTCAACCATATTCTAGAGATATTATTAGCTGCTTAAAACACATTACACGCGTGTTAAATGTGCTAGTTAATATTGGAGCTATTATAACTACATTCTATATGTTTGGATAGCTATGTTATAATTTAGGGGTTTTTTTAATTAGAAATAGCCTTTAAAATAGAGTTGTACGGAAACTGTCTTTTATTTTAAATTTATACGTAAATCATCTTTAAGGTGAATTTTTGTTCCAATCAACCACCTCCTAGTTAAACTTTTTAATGAATACAAAAAATAAGTCATAAACTCACATTCAAGGTACATGACTTATGTTGCTGATATTTAGGCCTACTTAGGATACAAGTCAAGTACTTTAAACGTGCATTTTTTAAATTATTTTTTATTTTACTTTTTAGTGAAAATTTTGATATGAGGTGGTTGATTGGAACAAAATTCACTTTAATAGTGATTTACATATAAATTGGAAATAAAAGATAGTTTTTGTATAATTAACCCTATTTTAAGATGATTTATACAGAAAAAAAACTCCTATACTTTATTGTAGTTGTATTAAGGGAGCATTTGGCAACCGTGGCGTTTTTGCCGTTTCTGTTTTTGTTTTTAACAAAAACAATAAATCGCGTTTGGCAACTGGGGCGTCTTTTTGACATGACCCTTTACAAAATCTAAAAAATAAACACTTTTCTCAAAACACAAAAAATGTGTTTTGAGATTCTATTTTTTCATCTAAGCCGGCCGCGCCGCCCGCTCGTCGTCGCCGCCCACTGGCGGGCCGCGCGCCGTCCCATGCGTCGCCGCCCGCCATCCGGCGCCCATCGTCGCCGCAGCCCCCACGTTGGCCGCCCGTGTCCAACCGGCTGCGCTTACTGCCACCCTTCGTCGCCGACGCCCGGGCCGCCCTCCAGCCACCCTGCCCATCGCCCCCCGACACCACCCATACCCGCCAGTACGGAACGATCGCATCGGCCCCCACCGACCCACGCCACTCGACGGTCATCAAACACCACCCCCCCCACCACACCCCGTCCGCTAGCTAACCGCACAGAATAACACCCGCAAACCACACCGGTCGCTCGCCCGGCACCCGCCCCCGCGCCCATCGCGCCCGCCGACAGTCGTCGCCCACCCGTCGCCAGCCCACGCGGTCACCGACCACCGCCGCCTCTTGGCACCGCAGCCCTCCGTCGCCGCCCGCCGTCGGCCGCACCGACGGTCGTCATCTGCTCCAGTGCCCGCCCGTCGCCGCTTTATAAATAATAACTATAAATGGTGTTTTCAAAACATGTTTGAAAAAAAACACCATGACATGATGTTTTTCTAAAAAAACATAAAAAATACAAACACCTTGATTACCAAACACACTTAAAAAAAGGAACTTTTAAGTCTAAGAAAGAGCCCAAGTTGGATAGTGTTTGTCATTGGATAATGGAATCTAAAGTTTGTATATCAACCTAAGGATTATGTTGCGTAATCAATGTAATGGATAGAAATCATAGGATACTTTGACTGGAAAGTCAATTAATTGCTTCATCTCAAATTGTATTCTTTCATTAATTTTCTGCATTTTAGCCGCCAATACGGGGGAACTTATCTTATGCTATTTGGGTTTTTCTAAAGTGTGCCCTAGGGCACATGTTAATTTGAATATACGTTAACATACCATATACATCCATCGCTTATTATTAGTTTTAGGGGGTGTTTGGTTGCATAATTTTATAGAAAAGTTTTCTCAAAATGTCTAACAATGGTAATTCTGTAATTAAAAATTTTCTATAGATTTCCGTAAACTATGTTTGGTTCAAAAAAAAATTACAGAAATGTTTTCTGTAAAGTACAAAAAATTACCAAAATTTAAAGAAATCAATTTCCTCTCAAAATGGGCGAAAATCACTCAGAAATCTGACACCACATTGACACTTTTCTATAAAGTTGATAATTTTCTATAAATTTAGGGGATGTTTGGTTTAATTTCTACAAATTATAGAAAATCTTGTTATGTTCTATAAAGTTATGGGTCATTTTTTTGTTTTAAACCAAACAAACAAAATAAAAAAATAAAAAAATTGGTACTTTTTGACTTCTCAAAAATTTTCTTATAATTTTTTTAAGAAATATAAGAAAATCATATTTTGGGTGGAAAACATTTTCTATAATTTATAGAAATTGAACCAAACACCCCCTTGATTGCCAATTAAGACTCCATACTTTGTGCTTATTATCAATTTATCAAACTCAATTGTCAATAAATAATAACATATTCTGGACATTATTAATACTGAAAGGAAACTAAAAAGGTAAAGAATACAAATTCCATTTCTCTCTTTTTTACGGTTTTCAAATAATAATCCCCCTACAAGAAATATAAAAGAAAAAAACTTAAACTTCTTTCTTGTTTGTAACAATAAGTATTATAAGTTGAGAAATATAAAAATTATTTGTGCATATGATTGTACTTTTTCCTCTTTCTTCCAATATATTTAAATGCCAAAAAGATAAAAATATGAGAATTATGATAAAAAGAAAAAAATAAGACACCCTACAATTATATTTAAATAATAAACGTTGGGTTCAATGATGTTTGACAAAATGAAGTTTAATAATTTAATTAATTTTTTATTCGTTAAAGTTCACAAAATATAATTTCTAAATTAAATTTTTTATTAATTATATCCGGTATATTGCTGCCAAAAGATATTAGAATTCCATAATAAGTTAGGGAAAAATGTCTCTAGCCCCCAAAACACGCCAGAACGTGCCCCCCCCCCCCCCCCAAGACTTTTTCAACGGGCGCCCCTCACAAGTCGAAAATCTGGGATTGATATTGTAGCATTAAATGGTGAAATGAATATGGTTTTTTTCTTTTCTTTTTTTTTTTTTGGGGGGGGGGGGGATCCTATTTCCCTTCAAATTATTATCATATCTAAATCCCCTTCCGCTGAAACCATCTCCTCCCCATTTGCTTACCCTAACTACTCTTTCTCCTTCCACTTAATTCTCCGCAATAAATCCTCTTTGATTCTTTTACTACTCCCTTGTTTAAAATGACGGGTGGATCCCTTCTTTGCATGGTGACAAATGCAAAAAGTAACGAAGAGGGTGACAGTGTATTCGTCGTTATCAAAGAGACTACAGAAATCATCAGCTTGAAATATCAAGTGTCACAAAGGCTAAAAATACCAATGTAATCTCTTTCACTGAAGTTCATATGAGGAAGGGTTTAATATTTCAATTGACAATGATGAGTACTTGAGTTTGATATTCGAGTATTATCGTCGTAATGGATTTTCAGACGCAAATTTGTATGCTACCTCCGGTGGGTAATCCTCAACTTCTCAGAACACGCAAACTATGCCAGAAAATGTGTAGGCATTAGGCATTACACTTTAGATTCCTTATGAGTTCACTGATAGGTTATGAGTTGGTTGTTAACTTTATGCATTGGTTGCTAAGAGTTTGAGTTGGCTGTCAAGGTTACGGACTGATTGTTAAGATTATGTGTTGTTTGGCTTATTTTATGAAATAGTTTTAAGATTTTTTTCTAAGGTTATGAGTTCGTGTTACGTATACTAGTTGGTTGCTATGGTTAGGCATTTGTTGTTAAGTATACGTGTTTGTTGTTAAGGTTACGGGTCTATCGTTAAGGATAAGGGTTT